CATTCATTCATTCATTCATTCATTCATTCATTCATTCATTCATGGTTTGTGATTTGAGTTGAGGGAAAAATGACTGAAAGGGCAAATTCTATCAATGGTCATCTTTTCAAGACAACTCTCTTCATTTTAAAAAAGTTGCAGGGAGGTTAAAGTGAACAATGCTGGTTTTGCCCTGCAAAGGTCATATCCATGCAAGAGATAGCAATGAGCAAATCACTGGAGGGTTTAACAAGAACAGCAAAATAAGTTCAACTATTTGGATTAGCAGGCCCAATCCCTTTTACTGTCTGTTTCTGGATACCGATTGCCAGTCTGGTTTAATTCAAAATCCATAGGAAAAAATTGGCAGGTTGGATCCAGTGATGTAAAAAAGTTGGGCTCATTTCCTAAACTTTACAAAACAGCCAAGATTCTTCTGTTTTTAAACTTCTTAAAAGCCCAGAATGCTTTCTGCGATGTTGAGCTTTTTGAATAAGTGTTTTTCTCCAGCGCTTCTTGCACTGACCAAGTGATCACACTGGAGCAGAATCCATGTTAGGGGATCTTGCAAACGAGCTTCCGTTTGCCAAGCAAAGAAGGGCAGTTGTCTCTTGAAATTATGCTGTCTCCTTTGCTCCAGCTCCGTGACCTACTTCATTCCATTTTCTAAAAATATTCTATTTCATTTTCTTTTCAACCAGCGGGCGGATCTCTGGATTTAAAGGTTGTTGGCAGGAACTGCACCAAGGAAGGCTGGTCTGATCCTTTCCCACATTATTACGATGCCTGTGGATTTGATGAGAATGACACCATGGCAGATTATAACCAGGTAAGGTGGGCACGCAGATGTCTGAGCCATGACAGTTTCATAGGCTATTAGCGGAGTCTATTTTTATATAACGTTGGGCTGGAATATTTCGCCAGAACACAATGCTTTGTACACTCTGAATGCATGCATGATCCATCTGGTGTTGTAGATCAGATATACACCCTTGACATTCTTCTAGACCAGTGTTTCTCCAATGTGGCCACTTTAAGATGAGTGGACTTCAACTCCCAGAATTCCCCAGACAGCATGCTGGATGGGGAATTCTGGGAGTTGACATCCACACATCTTAAAGCTGGCCAAGTTGAGAAACACTGTTCTAATGGATTGCAGTTTTCTAATATGAAGTGGCCATTGACCTGAGTGTTTCAACTACACGTGTGAAAGGAGTGAATTTGGACTCTTGGGCAAACAAAGCAATCACCGTATCATTGAGCTTTAAATCCTTCCCCAAAGTAACCATCAGTTTGCTGTTTGTCTTCACAGGATTACTACTACCTCTCTGTCAAGGCTCTGTACACAGTGGGCTACAGCACTTCCCTTGTTTCGCTCACCACAGCCATGGTGATCTTGTGCCGTTTCAGGTGAGTTGCTGCAAACGCATGGCCCATTCCAGGTATCAGTTAATGAGAACCAGAATGAGCCATCGGCACCATGTCCTCTCTGCATCTAAACAGATAATTGGGTCAGAGATGTCAAGCTTTTTGTGTAAACTCTGAAAACAAGTTAATTGGTTTAGCCAGTTAATCCAAAACCAATTTATCTTAAAATCAGATCCAGTCTTGTTTTGCATTAAACCAGTGTTTCTCAGCCTTGACACCTTTAAGATGTGTGGACTTCAACTCCCAGAATTCCCCCAGCCACCATGGCT